GAATAATAATATAAAATTATTATTATTGTTTTATTCTAATTTGTTTGGCTTCCAAATTCACCAGTGAGACTGAGACACTATATCACAACTAAAAAGAGGGTTGAGTCTCCTTTAAATTACATTCACCAGCTTTTTTCTTTTACTTTGCACACTGAACCTGTGTTGGAGCTCTTAATTTTGAACTCTCAAAGTGCACCAGATTTATGAATTTAACTTTAAAATGTACAAAATTTTCTTACGTGGGGGGCATGCCCCCGGACCCCCCTAGAGGAATCGAGGACCACCCACAACAGTCTCACAAAATCCTGTGGGAAACACTGCCCAGCATTTGAAAAAGATGACACATCTTTAGTCATGTGATGTATATTGTATATATGTCTTGCTATTTGCTTGAAGATTATTTAAGATGAATGTTACTTTTTGTGCAACCTTCATAAGATGACAGAATGTACTCTCGCAATTGCTTTCCTGCAGCAAAAGAGGATGAAATTTGCATTTTAGACCATACATGGAATGTTTATATGAATGTTTTGATTTTGTAAATGTGGACATAGCCTTATTTTCTTATTATACATGGCAAAAACATTTATTACAAAATGTAGAGACCTCCAGTATGACTAGACTAAGCAGATTCATTTGAATATTTAATAAGATATTTTTGATAGTAATAGACCGGAACTTATTCAATACTTTGTTTCTGTATGTGTATACTAAAACATTGGGGGAAATTGTAAATGAGAGTCTTTTTGTCATGTGCTCAGTGTATAAACAGCGGTGAATCAGCACACAGCATAGGTCACACATTACACATGTGATATTTTACACAATCCTTCAAGATATTAGTGTTGCCCAAATGAGGTTGTTGGAAACATGACTCACACTATATGCAAGGAATTTAGCTGAAGTATTTTCTCTCATGATTCAGTGCCAGCAAAAACAAGTCACTGGTCAAGCATCGACTGTGTTTTTTGAGGAAAGATTCTCTTAATTGATGACAGTCTGAGCTGGTTTTGATCTTTATTTCTTCAGTCTGTTACTCAGTGCTTTGCTGCAATCAGGGTTTCTCTGTTTGTGGCATTGTTGTTTTATCTATTTGAAAATACCCTTTAAGTGTGATTTGAATCTTCAGTGGTGTCTCATGTTTGTACTGGATTGTAGATGTTGGATAGTCGGTTTCGAGTGGTTCAGGTTATTTTGTCGGTGTTATTTCAGTCTTCAGTACACAGTGTGTATATCTTCTGAATCAGATGACTGACTTCCCCTTTTCAAGATATCCAGAGCTCTCTCTTATGTAGACTAGAGAGTTATTACCCTGATCTGTTGATCGATTTTTTATTTAATTTTTTTCAGTGTGATCATTTTATAACCGGCCATCTGCTCTTTAAATGTTATCGATGGATCCCCCTGTACTGCCGATTTGGTATCTCCTGGTATGACACTGGTCACCCCCCCATGATGAAGCCACGTGATAGAGCTGGTGACAGGGAGGATCAGCTGTGCCAGTCCCTGCAGGCTGCTTGGCTCTCTGGTGCACAGGTCTCCTGGGCAGTGCCAGCGAAGAGCGTAAATCGGCGCTCGCTCCCACACCGTCCTATAATGCTCTGCCTTCTCTCTTTATCCTAGTCGGCACGGCACAGATTAACAACGATTATTTTCTCAGCAATCTTTGGATCGAAATTGCGTCGTAACAACGAGGGATGCTTGCAGAGCACAGGGAGAACAGTAGGTATGGAAAAAAACATGTTTGATCAGCGTGTCTCCATAGTGACAAGGCGTTTGTTTACAGTTTGGAGCCGTGTGTCACAGATTTATTTGCTGCAGTGGTGGTCTTGAAATGGCTTCTTACTTTCTGCTGAGGATCCTGGCAACACTTCGCTTCGCGAATCACACATTTTTGGATTCCACGTGAGATTCTTGTATGCGCTGTCATAGTTTTTATGTAATTAAAGGCTGAGGAAGGTAAAACAGATGAGTAGGCAAATGACAGATGGTGAAATGATGGTGCCGTTCTTCCCGAAGGAACGGTGATGTGGAGCAACAAGAGGTTGCTGTGAGTTTCAGATGTAAGAAAGGGTTATATCTAATTTTTTGGAAGTAATAAGCATCTTGCATCAGGCATTGTGGGTGTCAGTGATTTCTTCACTGCTTCATCCTGGGAGTCATCCTCTTTTCTGGGAATTGTAATTTTTTTTTTAAGTCACCTGGTTTCTGGCTGCTTGTTTGCGAATCAAGTCAGGACATGTTGAAACCAAAGGCTTCATTAGACTCTGACTCATTCAACACTGTGATTTACACAGAAAGGGCTCTTGATTTCAAGAGGTAGATGTGGATTTGAGTGTGGGGGAACTAGTAATGTTGGTTCATATTTTGGATCATGCCACTTCAGCTTGTTGCTGTTCACAGCCATGACATCACCAGTTTATGTGTGCTCCTCCCCAGAGTTAAACAGTGATTTTTTTTGACTGTGGAGAAGATTTCAGTTAAATGTGGGCTTTGCAGAACAAAGTTACAGTGTCTTTGTTCAGGTATAAAATGACCTTAAATACAGTGGTTTCAGAGTCGAGATAAGTAGTAATTTGTTAATCATTAGGTTGGAGTTTAAATGCTAATTACTGTTACCTTGCCTGCATGATGGCATCTGTGGTGAAATGAATTTCACAGTAGACTTTTACTATACTTCAGTTAGAAAAAAATAACAGCTTTGCAACTTTATTCTCAGTCAACTTTTGCTTTTGTACTGATTTTGAGTGTTGCATCTCTTATTGTATTGATATTCTTCATGTGTGGTGCGCTGCAGTATAACCTCTCAGTTTGCACTTGTATTACCGTTCTTGTTGATTCTTGAGGTTTAGTCGTAGTGCTTGACTTGAATTGCATAAGTGTTAATAAACAAAATATTTGAGGGTATATTATGCACTTTCTTGTAAGTTGCATTAGGTCAAAAATATCTTACAAGAACTTAAATGTAAATGTGGTAATTAGTTGTTAATGGTAAATCTGTTATGAAATGGCAATTTCCACAACCTGTAATAGTACACTTTAAAAAGGTGGTGGTGTTGATGACGATGAAAGAAATTCATACTTTATTAATTGAATTAGGGCTGGGCAAAAAAATTGAATGGAGCGGCATTTACTACACAGAGCCGTAGATCACAGACAAGTTACACAAAATCGCGTTCAAAATCGCAGGCGATGAAAATCGCATTCGATTTTTTGCACAGCCCTAAATTGAATTAACCAAAAGTGACTGTAAAGTCATTTATAATGTAACAAATTATTTCTATTTTATTTGAATAAATGCTGTTCTTTTAAACTTTCTGTTCATCAAAGAATCTTTTACCCCAGTTTCCACAACAGCGCAACTGTTTTCAACATTGATAATAAGAAATATTTCTTGAGCAGCAAATCAATATACTTAGAATGATTTCTAGAATAATGACTGTTGAAAATGACTGTTGCTTTGCCATCAAAAGAATAATTTACATTTTAAAATATACTAAATTATTTTAAATTGTATTAAAGGCACAATATGTAAGATTTTTTTATTCATGATTCAACACTCAGTCACGGCGTCATCAAACTACACCTTTGTTTCTTTGTTTGTTTGTTTTGAATATGCGCCCTCTAGTGGCAAAAAATTACATATTGTGCCTTTTAATATTTCACAATATTTCTGTTTTTACTGTATTTTGCTCAGCTAAATGCTGAAAAATACTTTGAAATCTTGTCTATAAATATTTAAATTAGACATTTGTACTAGCTTTTTGTAAACAGTCTTGTGGGATTTGCTCTTTGCTACATTTATGTTGTTTAATCAGTTACCTCATAGAATGGCTACTCATAAATAGAATTAATCAGTTTATTGTTGTTGTATAAACATTAATTAATGGTGAATTACATTTTAAAGTTGTAACTGCTGGCACATTTGAAATGGAAAAAACAAATCCAAGTGGCCGTTGACTGAATATTGTAGGAACAAGGTTTATGTGTGCTCAGCAATTAGAGCTGAACGATTTTGGAAAATAATCTAATTGCTACGAATATGTTACGATGAAATTAGGTGATGCATGAATTGATATGAATGACATTTTTATTTAACAACTACAATCACAGTAGTATATTGACTGATTTGTTGAACTTCCAACCTTGTAAGCATGTAATAATTATGACAACATAAAGCACTGACAAATAAACCTGGCGTAAACATTAATATGAAAGTCAGTAACAAATCACACAAACTAAAGTAGACTGCAGAAATATAAAAACAAGTCTGTTGCTTTACCACACTACTTTAGCAATTCAAAGTCAATGTAATAAACATATGTAAACATGTGGACTGCACTAAACACTGTCTGTTAACTTTAGACCAGTGGTTCTCAAACTTTTTTGATCGTGCCCCCCTTTAAACCTATAAAAAAAAAATCTTACTTAATTAAAAAAACCTACAGGGAAAAAACACATGCATCACTTGAAACATTGAAAATAGCATAGAGAATAACTCTGTTATTATTATTATTCTCTCGCTGTTATTTATTTATTTTTTGTGGGCTTCATGCTGTCCGCTAAGGCATAGGACACACACAGGCTTTCCTCCTCACCAACGACATTAAACACAGTGTCTACACCGGACGCGAGCGGCAAAATACAGTAGAAACCATTATAACCAGTGACACTGTCTACACTAGATGCGGCGCGGCACGACAAAAGCCGACATTAAACTGATGCCTTGTTCTATTTATGACGTACTGACACAAAGTTAAAATGATTTGCAACGGTCGCTTTGTCGCGTCCAGTGTAGAGCTGTTGCGGCGCGACAACTGTAGCGTCCGGTATAGACACGGTGAGTGAAGCCGAGAGCAAGATATGCCTTGTCATATTTTCTGCATTTAGCATTTGAATGACCAGCACCTGCCTGGGTCTATGCGACTTCATCTATGGCTTTTCTCTTCGCTTTCACAAACCGATCCATCTCCCATTCTAAGTTACGTCCTTTGGCTGTTTACTGTTTTATTTCTTTTCTTTTTCTGCTGATGGCCCGCGCTCGACTTGAAGCAGCGCTGCTTAGACCGATGGGTGTGTCATCAAAGTACTGCCAGAGCTATAAGAGAGCGTGGACGTCTCCGTATGCTTTCTCTCGCCGTACTTTGATGTCATACACCGATCTGATCTTCAGTCATATTTTCAGCATTTAGCTTTTGAATGACCAGCACCTGCCTGGGTCTGTGCGACTTCATCTATGGCTTTTCTCTTCGCTTTCACAAACCGATCCATCTCCCATTCTAATTACGTTGGCTGGCTGTTTACTGTTTTATTTCTTTTCTTTTTCTGCTGATGGCCCGCGCTCGACTTGAAGCAGCGCTGCTTATACCGATGGGTGTGTCATCAAAGTACTGCCAGAGCTATAAGAGAGCGCGCACGTCTCCATATGCTTTCTCTCGCTGTACTTTGATGTCAGCGGTTACACCGATCGATCTTCAAGTGGAACACACCTCTTTACACGTGTCACGTGACCGAGTGTAATCGCAGTCTCTGCTATTGAAAAATCATGTTTTTTCATATCGCGATATTATCGCAAATGCAATTAATCTTTCAGCCCTATCAGCAATCCAGTAGGCTGTTTCGTATCGAGACACTCTCGCTTGTTGTTGACTTGTAGCCTGTAGTCAGTGAGAAAAGTTCACTCTCGCTTCGGCATTTCCATCATTTCCACCATAACAGTGACAGAGATGTGAGGGTTTTGTGTTTACGTCACCCAGTATTCCCAAGAGTCTTTGAAAGGCTTTTGAGAAAGCTGAAGCTGTGCTTTTTTTCTTCTTCTTCTCCGAAACAGTCCTTTGGAGCTTACTTTGCTTTCTCAGGCAGTCATTGGAGCTGGCAGCCCTCTAAGAAATGCTATGAAAGACTTAAAGCGTAAAAGGCTTAGCCACATTTTACTGACGATTTCATGTCCCAGCAACCTTACTCCCCACCGATTTACATCAAATCTGTCTCTGTATGTCCCAAGGCAGGATTATTCATTGAGGAAGGACAAATAGGACTAAAGGACTAAACTTTTTTTTCATTTTTGAAACACCTGTTAAACTAATTATAATTCGAGTTACAACCACTGTCTGAACACAAAGGCATTTTTTTTATTATTTTAATTAAAATATTAGCGGTTCTCACAAGCTATTTCTTTTTTTGGTGAAGATTTTTTATTTTTTTGCCTTTCTGAGTTTACTTCCTACAGTATTTTTTCTGCTGTGTGTAACAGAAGAATTCTCAATTTGAATAAAAAAAATAAAAAAAAATCTCTCTCTTATTTAAAAAAAAAAATATATATATTCTGCATATTTTCTCAAATTTGTGTTGTTACATACAAGACAGGAAAATAAAATAGTGAAAGAAATAAACTCAATTACAAACATCTGATACCATTGACAAACTCTGGTGTTAACCATTGAAGCACATAAGTTTTTAAATTTGGCACAAATTGCTTACAGTTACACACACATACTTAATTGGAAAATTTAATGAATGAGAATGATTATTGCTCACAATTCATAAAAGCATTCAAGGCCCATCCATCTCAATACAATAAATGAATGAAGTTATAAATGAAATATCTTTCCATGCGACCTATTGCATAATGTTATTTTTGGTAATAATGCGTTTATGCCTCTGGCTGTTACCATGTTTAGGTTATAATATCACTGATTTAGATTTGGGTTAAGATGTGTCCCCCTCAATGTCCACAGTGGTTACTGACATGGATAGGAGGATGGGGGTGCCATAGATAAGAAAGGTCTGGAATGTAAAAAACAAAACAAAAAAAAAAACACTGGTCTACATTAAAGGGGTCATATGATGCGATTTCAATTTTTCCTTTGTCTTTGGAGTGTTACAAGCTCTTGGTGCATAAAGAAGATCTGTAAAGTTGCAAAGACTAAA